CAGTTTAGTTTGGTAGGCGTCTGATCATGGTGAGCCACGGTTTACCCAGCTAACGTGGGACAATGTGTGTGACAACGCCCCTTATAGTTATAGTGTATTCAGTTCGGTTTTTGAACTCCGATGTTCCTGGCGGGTTGTGCCAGCGTTGTGCAGCAAGAGTGCTGTGGGTAGCCGAGTGGCTCCAGTCTCTCCGGAGGCGTGGGTTCGAATCCCACCGCTGCCACCAATGTAATAGGTAGCCGAGTGGTAGGCGCGGTGAAATCAACAATAATTACTTTTATTCTACTTTCAGGTACACACCTGAAATATAATCGTTCGTGAAAGAAGAAGCGGCAAAATAAATAACTTTCTCTCCGGTGCTCACCTAGAGGCTGAATCCTTGTTCTTCGAGTTAGCTTTCATTGCTATCCAATCTAATCTAATCTAATCTAATCTTCATCAAAACAGAAATGTGCAGCCGCTTTTATGCAGCAGACGACGTACGCTTACATACGGAGATACACTAAATATACATCAGGCAAGCTCCGTATTAGTTCCGTACTGCTTCCGTATTGGTCGGGCAGGGATACTACACCGTCACCTAGATAGACAGTGTGGTGTGATTGTTTTAGAGTAATGACCATCCAGCACTGGTGTTGATCTCTGGGCCTTTGTTTCTGATCTCCACTGCCTCTCGCAATTTGCGGCTTGCCCTGTCACTGGCTCTTGCAACCACAGACATTGCCGAGAAGATGCTGTCCCCGACACCTAGGTTGATCCCTGCATGCTTAGCTCGCATGTGGTCACCCCATGGCTTATCCACAGTGCGCCTACGAGCTTCACCGTTGTGTTCCTCCAGTCTTGTCTCCGTGGACGTGGGCGGGCGTGAGTGTTGTCCTGCTCATGATCTTGGCAGTTGCCGGATCAGTCAATGGTGACGACTTTGAGTCGTGGAGTCCATTACCCGCCGCTGTGGATCAGTTTGTGGAGGCGACGAAGACAATCACCGAAATCTGCCATCTACAAAGATTGATAGTGAGTGACTGCGAATGGTACCAGGGCAAGTTCCGCAAAGTGGTGCGTCGAGGATTCAAACTCTTCCCTGGTTCATCAGATCACGAGAAAGCGAATCAGTTGTTGGCGCAGGTACAAGTACGTGCAAGACATGTTTCGCCTATGATGCCAGCCAGCAAAAGTGACGCAGATACCAGGGCCGCCTTGCAGCATGCAACACTTCAGCTTGTCTCGTTCTGTTTTACAAACCTGTCCGTCTGCAAAGTGCCATATATCCTCAACCGTTTGGATGCGAATTTCCTCGCCCAAGCATTCCGTGGGTAGGCGCCAGGCGCCACTTTCCATACTTGGCGAGGGTTCTTGATGGTTTTTTATTCTCTATGACAGCTCACGCAGAATGGTCACTGCCTGCCTATGGAAGCAAACTACTGAGTATGCGTGAATAAGCAGCAATATATTCAGCTGATAGTATCAGGGTTTACTTGGCGTGTTATGAACATAGTTGTGCCTTTGTAATTGCTTTGTTATTATTTTTATTGTGAAGAAGAGGTTGGTGCACTTCCCCAATTATTTTTTAATTATTTTTATGGATTCCCCGAAACTGCCAAAGGCTTTCGCTTTTCGGGGGGTTCCCCATCGTACCAAGCATAGGATAATGGGTTGTGTCTGACAGTTCAGATGCGCCAAACACTGAACCAAAACTCGTTTCTTTCAAGTATACCTACTGGTGTTCTCTTGCATGAACTGCCCTCACCCAATGCTGCGGTATTAATTTCTATAAATCCCTCCATGAGTTCTCTTCTAAGGGCTCGCAAACTCCGTTGCAGCCATTTACGTAGTGATTTAGTTTTGTTCGTCCAAACACTCACATGAGGTTTGGTGTCGCTGCTGCAATAGTTAGTCATGTGACTGCAATCGTTAGTCATGTGACTCACTCTAGTCTTTTTTCCAACATCCCTTTCTCATGTCGGCGCGATCATTCTGTCTGTTTGCTATAATTATTTTGTGAGCTTTTGATTTCATTTTGTCCTTCTGCTTTTGATTTCATTTGTCCTTTAGATTTTGATTTCATTTGTCCTTTAGCTTTTGATTTCATTTGTCCTTCCGCCCGGCCGCATATGGTTCACTGTAGTAATAATTAACGTTTGTTACTATCTCTTTTCTTTAAGACAGTCACTCTGACTTAATCCTGATAGCGATTGAGCGGGCAAAAAACATCAAATTCTTCATCTTCTTCCTTTTCTTTGAGTAAGTTCTATACTTATATTTTCATCCGTTTCGCTTCCATCATTGGTTTGTATTATCGGTTCCTGGGTTGAATTGAGAGATTGGTAACTTAACTCCAACGAAATTCGTTACTGTTTGGCAGGAACGGTTCACTTCTCAAATATGCTTCAACGTACATGTACGTACGGATGCAGCGGATTGGGTATTCGGTTTTTTATCACTTGTTGGCAGGTCAGTCTGATTGATTTCTGTGTCTGTTTTTTTCTACTCTCTCCTCTCTCTCTCTCTCTCTCTCTCTCTCTCTCTCTCTCTCTCTCTCTCTCTCTCTCTCTCTCTCTCTCTCTCTCTCTCTCTCTCTCTCTCTCTCGTTCTCTCTCTCTCTCTCTCTCTCTCTCTCTCTCTCTCTTTCTGTGTCTGTTTTTTCTACTCTCTCTCCTCTCTCTCTCTCTCGTTCTCTATCTCTCTCTCTCTCTCTCTCTCTCTCTCTCTCTCTCTCTCTCTCTCTCTCTCTCTCTCTCTCTCTCTCTCTCTCTCTCTCTCTCTCTCTCTCTCTCTCTCTCTCTCTCTCTCTCTTCTCTCTCTCTCTCTCTCTCTCTCTCTCTCTCTCTCTCTCTCTCTCTCTCTCTCTCTCTCTCTCTCTCTCTCTCTCTCTCTCTCTCTGTGATCACCTCCCATGATTATTAATTCTAGGGTTGTGCTCAAATATTGTAATAGGGTCGAGCAGTTTAATTCCACGACAAAGCATTGGCTTCTCAGCACCACTTGTTATGAATATCCACTGGTGAACGTGGCAAGAAAGTTGATTCTAGAAACCCTCGGGCGCAACTTAGAAGTATGTAAACATTTTTTTGGTGTTGTTTCAAATCTTTTTATCTCGCGTTGTTCAATTCTTTATTCTCACGATGGCACAATCGCCGATATGAGATAGTTGTTGATGTTGTTTGTGTTGTATACGTTGTTTATAGCGGGAATCAAAACAGGCTCAGCAATGGACCCACTGGGAAAAGAATTTAAAAGATGGCACGGAAAGGTAGAGTGAAAGAAAGTGAAGGTTGGTTTTCTAACGAACAGATATCTATCCAGTTGTTTTTGCTGTCGTTTACTGGTGAGCTATCGAAACCCTACCTAGCTGAAAATGTATACGACAAGGCTTGAGATTTGAAATCGTAAATATTTATATAATTTAATACTCAATCTGCGGACAGCATGCTGTTTCGTTCTTTGTGAACTCATCAGCGCAGCACAGAGGAAATGAGGCCGAACCTGATAGCAATGAAAATAAAAATGTCCAATCAGGCCCGAACGTATAATATAATTTAATAGTAAGACATCGTACTACAGTAGTTGTAATGTGGAAAAATGTGGGCACTGGTGTTGCCATCCAGTCCACCATAGGCCTTGGCGGATAATGCCGGCAGAAAAATTGGCAGAATTCGGTACTTTTTCTGGTAGGTTTCATGCATGTTTGGTATGTGGATAAAGAAATGGAGCAGAATTCGAGGAATTGCACGCCATAAGGTTTGTATGGTTCTGCCAATTTCACTGCTTTTCGAGCAGAATCTGCCACCTTTTCGAGCATTATCCGTCAGGGCCTAGCCTAGTCCACCAGCTAAACCAGATGTTCAACAGTCAGACGTGCAGAGTTTTGTGCTAGATTTGTGCTAGATTTGTGCCCAAATTTCTCCATGTTACAATTTTTACCTTGGCTCACACACAATATTTTAATAGTATAGGCAATTACCTATTCGAACTCTTTGCGTTGTGACAGTATTCTGTTCCACATAATGGCTCCAGACTGGTGCGTTAGGCGCTTCAGCAGAATGACCAGTGCTAGCAGGTGGGTCAACAAGCATTTTAGTTTGGCCTCCACGAGTGCGGGTTGATGGCATGACAGCATACAAAAGAGCTGAAATAGTGTGCTACATGCATCATGCAAACAGCGTCAGATAAAACAAAACCTGTTCAGGTACACGGAGAAACCTGCAGATCACATACATGTACATGCATTCGATTGAGCAGGTGAGCAATGCTGGTCCACGGCGGAGACTTTGCAGACGGCGCGAACGGCAAGGTTGAACAGCCTGTGTAGCCGTTGTTCCTGAGCAACTGACAAATACGGGTAGTAACTAATACAAGCATACAGATATTGTGGGGAAATGATAGATCTAAAGTAGGTGAATCGCCACAGGTATGCCAGCAAAAGAACATGTCGCAGCAGGAGAGCAATTTCTGCAGGAGACCTAAAGAGCCTCATGGTCCACCATTGTGGTCCAACTCATGTTCGAGTCAAAAATGAAGTCCACTGGAAGCATTTTTAATAAAACATTACAATCTTGTAAATTGAACTATCTCTGCCGTCATCACCATGAATTAACGATGTCAAAGGTTTTCCATAATCGATTTGAAGCATATGACTATTGTGGCTTGCCGTCTAGTGCCCTTGGACAAGCAGCCTGGTCTTAGGCCAATCGGAATGAGAAACAATGCTCAGAATTTCCTAACTTTATAATCATAGCACTCAAGCCAAAATTTAATTGTTTTTAGTGCTCGTTGAGTCCAGGTGGTGACAGTCATTCTTTTCCTCAGACTTTTCCCGTTTGTGTCTTTCCCTCAAACCAGTTAATAGTGCTCATTTTAATCCTCATTTAGTGCACATTCTCTAGATGTAGTGCTAGCATGCTCCTTCTTGCTCGTTTTTTGGAAAACCATGCCACTTGTAGTGCTCGTTTTAGTGCGGGTACTATATCCTCAGGCCCACCTCACGTACAGCGTTTTAGAATCAGGAGTATAGAAATTGGCGTCGCCGAGGTAACAACTTTATTCGATTCTGGAAAGCCTTCAGCTTCAGTAATGTATGGTCACAGAGTCTGCTTTTAATATGTTGGACCTGCTGATGCCCTACCTAGTGCAATATATTATTCAATGATGTAACACCTACTGATGCCCTACCTAGTGCAATGTATTATTCAATGATGTAACACCACTGGAATGTCTTCTTTGGCAGAACGTTGCTAAAGAATAACAAATAAAAATTCACGATTCGGGTGAGACTCGGCTGGAGTCCGAGTTTTTCGCATCCACAGGAACGCCCCCACCCTCTATGGATCAATGTTGCCAATTGTTTTCCACGGTTCGCGTGAGACTCGGTTTCTCTAAATAGAGGCCGAGTTTTCGCATCCGTAGGAACGCCACCACCCTTCAAGGATCAAGGCGCAGATGCGGCTCCTAAAGTGGTGGGAGGTGAGTAGATCAGCTCACCAGCATGTTGCCAAATCACACAGTAAAACGTCTTGCCCTGACCTCGACAAAACAACGCCCATGGCGCCCCGACTCTGCTCGCACCTAGAATTCAAGGCTGTGCTCACTACGCAGCGTGTGAATAAGCTGGTAGACGGCACTCTGCGCTGCTCTGTCGGCGTGCCGGAACTGACGGCCTTCCGACTTCGCCATGGTGCCCGTTTCCAAGTCGACGGCGTAGGCTCGGAACTCGCGGAACGGCTCTTCGTACCTCAGGGTTGCCTCGCTCCAGTACTTGATCTGCCGGCCGAATAGCACAGTTTCGTCCCCAATCTCCCCCTGCAGATACAGTGCAGAACACCATGTGCAAGAGCAAATCCCCTAATCAGGAGCACTGCATCATAAAAAATGACACCAACTTGAAATTCTGTCGAGACAGCAGGGTATGTATATGCGGGAGTTGCGCACTCTTGGAGTGTTATCTACTCTTGATAAATGGGTGAGAACAAGGTGCGCAAAACACACACGCCTACATTGTACAGGTTCATGCAGATACGATGAGATTGGATACACAAGTAAGTTGAAGTAACACAACGTGACAACACCTTGAACGTTGACCTCTGAGCACCATGTAGAGCTGTTGCACAGCTCTGACTCACCCCATGAAATCATTCCCAGACCCTGTACAGCCATAGCAGTGTTCGGCCATCGCACTTCGATAATTTCTTACTATTTAGATGGGTCCTTGGAGGCTTGGAGGGCAATTATTTTCAATGAATTTTCTTTAGGAGAAGGACCCAGGACTAGATCACAACGTTTTTAGAAAGCTGCCATTAGAGAGGTTGTGCACAACGAAAATTCGTAAGATTTCGACCGTCCAGGTTCGAGTATTAAACGGAAGTTGCTGCGAAGATCCGTCCAAACGACCGAAACAGACCAGATCTACAAAAAATATTTTGTAATGTGGAGTACCAAAATATTGATCTTTTACAACTCCCTGTCTTAGCTTGACACTCCTAACCCGCGCGCGCTACCACGAAAAAGTTCGCACGTTGTGCATGTGCGCAACCTCGCGATTTATGAATTCGTCAGCTCTTTTCGTTAAAAATATTCATTACGGCGCTACGAACTTTCGTTGTGAGCAACCTCTCTATTATGCAGTTTTTATTTTCTTAGGACACCTACCTCTCTGCAGTAGCTTTTCAACGTATCGCCCACGCCTGAGAGTTTCTCCAATATCCCTAGCACTGGTTTTCCGCAGTCACCGAGATCGTACAAGCGCTGCATGCCCACTGCCACGCCTAGCTGCTCCAACTCCCCTTCGCCGTCCGTGCCGCCGCCAGCACCATTATTCGCATCAACAAATGCACCACGGGCTTGCTCTGGCTGGGGCGGCAGGCTACTTTCGGATGGTCGCTGCTCGCCGCCGGTGACATCCGTTTGTTTCGCATCGGCCGGGCTGCCTGCTCGTTCCGCAGTGGAACGCGGATTGTCGTTGCTTTCTTGAGCGATCGGCCTGCCTTGCTCATCCACCACGATGTACTCCGAATCGCTGCCCGATTCCTGCTCGATCTTCTCGCCATTGTCCGTGCAAGGTGAGGAATCAGGTGGGCTTGGTTTCGCTACGGAATTCGAGCTTTCGGGGACGCATGCCGCAGAGCAGCTCCGTTCCGTGCTCGACCTTTGACACGGCGGTGCGTGGCCGGATTCGGCGGCTGATGTACTACATGCAGTTTGGCTTTCAGCCCCCATGTTGATGTCTCCTTCCTTCGATGGCGCGAGTTCGGGCCCTGCATCGTTCGACGTCGGAGCTCCAGAGCTCACCTCTGTAGTCGATCTTCCAGAAGCACCTGAATCACTGTGGTCGCATATCTGTCGCTCCATGAGCACGGCGAGAAGGCCTCGAAGGGCGTCCGCTCACTGCAGAGGCTACGCCTGCAACCAACCAAGCACGGACTGACTTCATAGGCGGGCCCGGGCCGGGACTACGAGCACGTACATGTATCTACGTGGTGCGAAAACTAACTCGGAACGACGCCGATGCTTTTCGTCTAGAAACAGCTTCAAGCTCTGGACACCATGGACACGCAGCGCAGAGAATAGTGAGTTGGAAGGAGGAAGGTCTACGAGCGAATCGAACAACGAATTGTGGAGCGACGGTGAAATTTCGCTTGTATGCACCACTGCATACTCTTCTGGCACTTTTTGTAGTCAACAGTCCACAAAACTCTGCGAAGGCTGAAGTCATGTTCCTGAGAAATGTGACGTCTGGTTTCAACCTGGTATGGTTTAAACTAACTTTAGATCGGTTTCGGATTGTCCGCAACGGTGCAGGGTTCGGCTAGGTGGTGGCGACTTCGAACCGCTCGTACATGTACATCGATCGACCTAAATGGAGTAATAATTAATATACAATCATTGTATTTGGAAGAGACAGCTAGCCAGCTCAAGTCATGGGCAGTGGACTCTACCACCAGGCACTTACCATCATTGGCAATTTGGAGGTGGTCCGGAGGTTGTCCCCGGCCTGCCTTCTGGGCAAAAAAGTGATCGGCTGGACCCGCTGCTACACCCCTGATCATGTGTACGACTCGTCACCATGGTCACGAGTCGTGTGGCTAGTTCGTTGCAGCAGGGGAGACTGTGCAGTATGGTGTAGCTTCATAAACTTTCTTTCCACCTACTTGTGATGAAACAAAGTATTCTGTAGCGTCACCACACTTGCTTTTCGGCTCAATCCTGGCCTGATGAAGGCCGGCTCTTGGCCGAACATGTAATAATAATAATATTATTGAGAAAAAAAGAAATGTGCAGCAAACAGATGGCTTTGGGGATGGTTTGTGTAGGGTTTCCGTGTGGTCCGCGTGCCATGGTGCGGAACATTCTTCATTTGGAGAGACCAGCTTGACAGATCAGAACATACTCTACACAGCCATGGTTCTTGCAGGGCAGGTTGTGATTATCTCAGTCTTGTACCCCCCCCCTCCACCACGGACACACATACACACACACGCACACACACACACGTACACACACACACACGCACACACACACCACCACCACCACCGCCGCCGCCGCCGCCACCACCACCACCACCACCACCACCACCGCCGCCGCCACCAGCACCGCCACCACCAGCACCGCCGCCACCGCCACCACCACCACCACCCACCCCACTCCAGCACACGCCACAGACAGGCTAGCCGAAGCACAACATGCCCGTAACTCCTCCACGGATCAATCTCATTTAGCGGATTCACGCTGCGGCAAGCCAAACGCACGTTGAAGCATAATTAATAATTATCTCAAGGCAGGTGAGCAGCAGCATAATAATGCACACATACGGTCCTCCACGGTAGGTGCAGAGACTGACGGGATGGCTTGATCAGGTGATCTGCACTCCAGCTACAGGCAACTTTGAGGATGCGCACGGCGCAAAGGCATGCAAGGCAGCGGGCAAGGCGACAGTCAATGCTGGAGACGTTCAGCACCGTGAGCAAGACAAGCTTCAACTTACAAGTTCAATGCGCAGTGCACAAACACCATCCATACGTGCCAGGAATTTCAGCTCAAATCTAAACTTCGACTAAACTAGTGACAGGTACAACGAAATAAACAATACGAAATACTCAACAAATGAGTCACAATGGGATCGCATCGTCGTAAATAGGCGACAGGCACTGCTGGCAACATGCATTGCAGGGAATATGCAACACTGAGAGCAAAACATGCTACAAGTTCAATGCACGGTGCACAAATCCATCCATGTGCACATGCCAGGACTTCAATTTTTGAAAAAAAAAGGTCAAAGCCAAGCTCAGAATTAACCTGTGACAGATAAAAAATTTAAAAAAAAAACAAGACGAGAAACTCAGCAAATTCACAATGGGATCGCATCGCCGGCTAAATATCACCCCGCAGGTAATCCTCTTCCGCTGCTTGGCTCTCTAGCTTGCCCCGGGCAACAAGGCTATTGATGGGCTTGCCGTTTTCGTCGATCAATGGCAGACGAGGAGCCGCCATGCCACCCTCATCCTCTTCGTCATCGCTCTCACCCTTAGCGTTTCTCAGACTGGCCAGTTTGCCTCGGTGGCTTTGTACCTGGTGAGTATATTGTGGATGATGGCGGTCGTCGCCTTCGGAGGAGGAACGGCTTGGTGCAGGACGCGTACTGGAAAGTACAGCGTGCCCTATAGGCTTGCCTGCATGAGCACGTGTTGACTGTATGTGCGTTTGTGTTGGGTTTTTGACACGCTCGCTCCAGGGCACGGCTTGGCGGCGGCGGCGATTATCCCCGCCTTCCGCGTCGAATTCCCGCGACATCATGCCGACTTGCTTGTGGTCTTGCTCACCTGGCTGCTCCCTGTTCCTGCTGGTTGTCTTGCTAGGATTGGACGACGATAGTGGCTTAGTAGAAGCCGGGGAGATAGGATAGCCGTGGCGACGAACAGGACTGTTGTAAGTAGGATTGTCATTGCCATGTTTCGGCGCATCATCATAATCATCAGCAGCAGCAGTAACAGCAAGGGACCGCTTCTTCCATTGGGCATTGCTTCCTGTCACACTAGCTACTTTCCTGGATGGCCCGTGAATACCCTGATCGTCCGATGCCCAGTACCGGTGTTGTTCTTCCTGCGTTCCCTCCGAGTCACTCAACGGCACGGTGGACGGTGGGCGCTTAGCGGGTGGTTCCTGGGCGCCACGGCTCAGCAGTGCTTCACGATACGCGATTGTGCGCTTGACAGCCGTCGCCTTGAAAGGTTGAACAGGAGCAGCAACGGCGCCAGCGGCAGGCTGTGTCCAGTTCGGGTGCTGACCTATGTGCTGAGATCCATCGCGGCCGAGCATGGCGGCTGCAATGTCCGCCTCACTGTGATTGTCCGTGAGTAGCTTGCTCCACTGCAGGTCGTCCATGTACTCCCTGCTGTCGCACTGCACGTTGTGCTTTACCTGCACAGCATGCCTAGCATCGGGGAACTGGCAGAGCGGACCATCGACGCTGACGACTTGTTTCTCCTGTTCGAGCTGGCACTGCATGCCAAGCGCGGCCTTCAGCATTTCCATATCGGCATGGGTAAGTTCGCTGGGCATGGCTTGCACGGGGAAGAGACCATCTGTGAAGATATCGAGAGGGAGAGAGAGAGAGAGAGAGAGAGAGAGAGAGAGAGAGAGAGAGAGAGAGAGAGACAGAGAGAGAGAGAGAGAGACAGAGAGAGACAGAGAGAGACAGAGAGAGAGAGAGAGAGAGAGAGAGAGAGAGAGAGAGAGAGAGAGAGAGAGAGAGAGAGAGAGAGAGAGAAAGAGAGAGAGAGAGAGAGAGAGAGAGAGAGAAAGAGAGAGAGAGAGAGAGAGAGAGTAAGTTACTTTTATAAAGACAGGTAAGTCTAACAAATGAGGACTGAGACCTCTACAACAGGGTTTTTACGCCTGAAAGCAGGGGCATGATTTAACAAGCAGGTTGTCAGTCTAGATTTTATGCGCAGAGAGAGAGAGAGAGAGAGAGAGAGAGAGAGAGAGAGAGAGAGAGAGAGAGAGAGAGAGAGAGAGAGAGAGAGAGAGAGAGAGAGAGAGAGAGAAAGAAAGAGAAAGAGAGAGAGAGAGAGAGAGAGAGAGAGAGAGAGAGAGAGAGAGAGAGAGAGAGAGAGAGAGAGAGAGAGAGAGAGAGAGAGAGAGAGAGAGAGAGAGAGAGAGAGAGAGAGAGAGAGAGAGAGGAAGAACAGGTATACATAAATACATGTACATACATCCCCCCCAGAGAATCGCACTATTCCTCTACCCTATGCTCTATACTATCAACATCTTTTTCCTCGTGTAAATCATGCTGATTTCTGGCACCTCCTTTTCCTCGCGCTATTGAGATGTTGAACCTCCATCACCTCTGCCCTCTTTTCTCAAGATCGTATATATTCTAGTGATTGTTAGTCGTGGTCATATGCTGTCTGATGAGTGTTTTCACACGAAACTCCGAGTAACAGCGGAAAGAGATTTGTTTGCTTCATTGCTGTGTAATCTTTGTACATACATACTGACAGTGCAGGCAACTGAAATCCGACCCCCGTCATGAGCCCGGATACACAATCAAGTCTACACTGGCCGCAAACTCACCGTGGTGAGAAGGCGACCGCTGAGGCACGTCACTCGTGGTCACGCGTTTCTGGTCACGGCGGATGCTGTGCGCTGGCGACGTCTTGCTGGCCGTCGCGGGGCCGGACAATTTGGATAATTTCGCCGGCGTGATATCCAGTGCCACGGAATGTTTGGACGGATTGACTGCTGTACTCTGACGTTCCTTGTCAGGCTTTTGTCGTGGTGAGGCCGCAACGGGTTCCAATTGGCCCTGAAATGGCCGATCCAAGTCACTGTCGAATTGAAGAAACGGATCGCTTCCCGCCGTGGCTATGGGCTTGGAGTTTAGGGTAGTATCGGCCGGCTCGGAACACTGGCGGGAAACCGCGGTCGCCCTTGGCTGGTCCGTCACGCTGACTAGCGGGCGCGGTGCAACACTCTCGACGCGCAGCTCAGAGCCGCTGCCGCCCAGGACGCACTCCGGAGCGGGCTGCGTTGGCGTCTGCCAAGCACCGGCGTCGCCGTCAGCGCCGCCTTCGGTATCACTGTCGCTGAACAGTGCACGCATACTGGAGGAGCTGCCCGGACGTCGGCGATGATCACTACTCCCGCTGTGCCAACTGGGATGGAAGCCGAGTCGCCCTCGATGCAAGTTTGTCTGGGCACCGCGCTGTCGACTCGACAGAAATCGTACCGTGATGCGATCAAAGAACGAGCCGCGCGCCGCCTCGCTTTCGAAATCCTCCGCTGTCAAGCCGCTCGGCTGCCAGTGGCTGGGCAGTGGTGGGAAGTTTGGATCGTCGTGAGCCGGGACAACGGGGTCCACCACGTTAGCACCACCCTCCTCCGCCGCGAGCTGTGGCGTTGTATCGTCGCTGTAGTTAAGACAACACGCCGCTTCCTGATACCCTCGCAGGATGAGCCCGCGGCCAAGCTGCGCCACCTGGAAGCGTCGCGGGTACGCGGCGAGGAACAGAAGCAGCTCGAACGTGGGGCTGTGCGTGGAGCGCGGCGGCGAGAGTCTGCCGCGACGCTCCACCGTGTTCAGGACGTCGCACGAGACCAGGTTGTCGGGGAAGATCTCGCCGATCGTCTTCCACGGCTGCGAGCTCGTCTCGTCGGGCAGGTCCAGGTGTTTGGCCAGCAGCATAGCTTCCAGTACACTCATCTCCTCAATGTAGGAAGCTGGGGCGGACAACAGAGATTGGAAAGAACACAACGGGTTTCAGGGCCACCGGAATGTGTTTCAGGGTGCTATGATCGACCATCTGCAGTTAACTGTAAAAGCAGAAATTTTCGGTGGTGTAATATTTTCGGTTTTCTCCAAAATCGGCGGTTCAGTGGAGGGAAATTTTCAGGAAACCCGCTTTCCAGGTAAGCGTTCTAGTATAATTTATGTAGTACATACATTTTCGGTGCGTTTTATTTTCGGTGAAAATTGTCGACACCGAAGTTACCGAAAATAAACCACCACCGGAAATTTCTGCTTTTACAGTATTATAATGAGGGGGGGGGGGAGGGGAGGTCAGTACTGTACACTCATTTCCTCAATGTACGACGCTGGGGAGGGTAACGGAGAATAACACAGGATATGCACACAACACAACAGGTTTCGAGGAGAAGACCGATGTGAAAGTGGTGACAAAAGCTGTCCATGACTTTGAGGTGCTTTCGAAAACCCACTGGGTTGACCAGCGACCAGAGTGCAGTTGAAAATCAACAAAATAATACCCGCCAGTACACTATTTTCCTCAATGTAGGAAGCTGGACGGCAGCAGAGAATAGCACAATGGAAGTTCATTTCAATGCGGGGGAGGGGGGGGGGGGAGGGAGAGGAGGGCATCGGCTAAATGTTCTCGAAAATAAAAGTCAGTGCATTTAATTGTTCCCTTGAAAAAAGAGTGCTGTACGATCGAAACCGTAGTGAATGTACTCATGCAGTTTCAAGAAAGATCCACCCACAAGTGGTCACAGAACCTACCCCTGGCACTTGATTTTGAGGTGATTTTATATACCAGGCTCGCCGGAACCTATTACCGGACCAACTAGGTGGCCACCAAAGCTTGTTTACTGCTACTCCGAAGCAAGAAGGTTATAAGTTCCCACTATAGCAAACACAATGTATGAGAGGCTGTGGTACGACCGGACCAATTGAATACTGCTTCCGGTGGTCCAGACCAGAGTGCAGTGGTAAATCAACAGATACACTTGCCAACATACTCACCAGTTGACGCTCTCAGTCCATAAACAAACACATTATAATGAAATAATACACACACAAACAAACAAACAGACAAATCAGAAACACACAAACGAATACACACACATACACACAGACAAAAGACAGAGACACCCTCCCCCCCCCCCCAAAAAAAAACACACACACTAAAACAAAACACACGCACGCACATGTGTAACACCCCCCCCCCCCCACACACACACACTGATGTACATTTACCAGCTCCCACCCCACCTCCCCCCCCCCCCCCCCCCCATCTCACCCACCCATCACACATACACTACACCTAGTCATACCCAGTCACACAGTCTGCTCACCTTGTCCCACTGGCGGCGGTGCGGGCAGTATGCCGCTACGCAGGATACAGCTGCACTGGCGCTTGAGGGCCACCTGATGACTACTGACATGCAGGCCGGCAGCACTATGCACCGGACACCGAGAACACGACGCCGCCCAGGTCGTCAACAAACGTTCGTCGTCCTGCCCGAACAGCAGCTGCCACACCAGGCGATTCTGCAGGAAGAGTTGGCGTGGTGATGCCGTCACTGAGTCGTCGCCGCCGCCGCCAGAGCTGCCGCTGCACAGCCGTAGGTACTCGCCCAACGAGCGACGGCAGAGTGCGTGCAGCTCCTTGCGCTGCTGCCGCTTGCTGATGCAGCACGACAGGGTGACGACAATGCTGGGCAGGCCGATCAGTACGGCCACGGCTGCATACACAGACACACAGGTACACACGTGCACACATGCCATGGGAACAGCAATATAAAAGAAAAAAACGGGGTTTGGACACTCTGGTTTAAGTGCACCCATGCCTCGGTTATCCGGACCCCGAAGTTACGGGCACTCCGTCTACCGAGTACCCTTCGGACAAGTTTCAGTGGAAACAATACTACTCCTTTGTCACTTTTTATTTTTTGGAAATAATGCCATCACATGTCATATCTATGGCCTTCCCCCATCAACAAATAAAGCCAAACAACAACAACGACAACATTTATGTGATTCGGAGTTACGGATATTTCAAAGTTACGGGCAGTGGCCGGTCCCGGTCCGCCAAGATAAACGAGGTACGAGTGTAATAAGGATCACAGTGATCCCAGCCTCCATAACCCATAAGAAATCTTAAAGGGGAAGTTAAGGCAAAAATTAAAATTTCACCAGTTGTAGTCTTCGGGGTGCTGAGTCGAATGGTCTTGGTCCGAGAAAGCTGAGACGCTCCCTTCCTACTTGAATCCCAATCGAACTCGCGCACTTCCACCGAAACTGGGTGACTGCGCCCTACTAGATGGGGATTTGTATGCAAAATGTCACTAAAAGCGCCATTTCGTTCTTATAAAAGCACGGATGACCGCGATTCGCCCATATGTTGTAGTCTTTTGGACGCTGAGTCGATTGGTTTTGGTCCGAAAAGGCTGCGATGCAGCGTTCCTCCTTTATTCCCAATCGAACATGGTTGAACAAGTGGTCACGTGCTCCTGGGTGCCCAAATCACCTGGTCACCACGCCAGCAGGCGACAACTTTCACACCAAGGTTCAACTCGAGTTCAATTCGAGTGACAGGACTGCACCCAAAAAAGGTCAAACAGGCTAGTAAGTTGTACCCTGCAGGCACGGTAACCAGCTGACTGGTGTACGCAGGAGCACGTGACCGCTTGTTCAACCATGTTCGGTTGGGAATAACGGAGGAACGCTGCATCGCAGCCTTTTCGGACCAAAACCAGTCGACTCAGCGTCCAAAAGACTACAACATATGGGCCAATCGCGGTCATCCGTGCTTTTATAAGAACGAAACGGCGCTTTTAGTGACCTTTTGCATACAAATCCCCATCTAGTAGGGCGCAGTCATCCAGTTTCGGTGGAAGTGCGCGAGTTCGATTGGGATTCAAGTAGGAAGGGAGCGTCTCAGCTTTCTCGGACCAAGACCATTCGACTCAGCACCCCGAAGACTACAACTGGTGAAATTTTAATTTTTGCCTTAACTTCCCCTTTAAGGTATGCATGCGTAAGGAGCTGCTAGCAGGCAGGATGCAGAATCATCACCATTATTCATTCCCCTTCCTTCTTCCTTCCTCCAGTTTTACTGCATTATTGTGCGCTCTGTCTGCGTGGACGCCGAGACCTTAAAGGTTGGCAGTGCATCCTGGCCCCGCCACTACTTCCTGCGCATATTTGGGAAAATAGTGGACTTTCGTATAAAATAAAAGCAAAAATAAACGAGAGAGCTTGGAAGCTCAGAGCCCTACGCTATGCTTTTTTGCTTGCTCATCATGCATGTAACGTGTCAAATCCGTGTGGACCCTGGCTAGCGCCAAACGATACTGAAGTAACGTCTGTTGCATAGCTACGGGATTAATATTTTGTGTTTATTTTTTATTTACTAGTTTATTATTTATTTTTTTGTGTCACGCCTGGCACTATCCCGTATTTGTCCCGTACCGTACCGTACCATCAAAGACAGCTGGCCACAAACAGCTGGCCACAATATTTTTGTTTGTGCGTGCCATCGGCATTCCTGGCGCTATCCCGTACCTGTCTCGTTTCTGCCGATCACGGGCGTTCTGGAGTCGACGGGATGGCTGTCCTGCCGTTTCCTGTTGACCGTCGCTGACTCTGCCGATCACGGACGGTCTGGAGTCGACGGGATCTCTCTTCCGACGTTTCCTGTGACCGGCGCTGACTCGCCCGTTCAGGATTATTTTGGAGACAACGGGATCTCGCTTCTAAAGTATGTTTTTGCTAACGCATCCTGTCACCTATTCGGCAACTAACGTCCATTCTAACTGCATTTCCTCATCTCTACTTCGTGTTTCTTTCCAGAAAATCTCCCTATACAGCAGGGAGTCGTTTACATAATACGAATCCCTGCTATACATCTATATACGTTATAATTATTATGCTATCGGCCTACATGCCATTCCCGGGCTGGTCGACAGGCGGCCTACCAAGCCTGCTAGTGGGATCTCGGCCTCGCACACAAATCCACACAGAATGTTACAGCACTATCGGCCTGAATGCATTCCCCCGATACACTTCGCATATACTCATTCTCTTGATGGTACGGGACAGGAACGGGATAGCGCCAGGCATGCCGATAGCACAAACAAACAAAAATATTGTGGCCAGCTGTCTTTGCTGGTAAGGTACGGTACGGGACAGATACGGGATAGCGCCAGGCGTGACACAAACAAACAACCAAACATGCACCAAATTAAAGCTGTGTGGACCCTGGCTAGCGCCAGACGTTACTGAAGTAACGTCTTCTGCATAGCTACGGGAATAAAAAACACTCTCCTTACCGATCAAGACGCCGATGATTCCCGGGGAAACCCCCCGTGCACTCTTGCTGGGATGCTCACTCGTAGTCATATGGGCCGGGGACGAGGAACTGGGAGTGGAATTCGTCGGCGGCGGCTGTGCCGATGATCCCACGGCAGAGCCGTTGGTCGGCACGGTGATGGTGGACAGACGAGTCGCGGTGGTGGCAGGAGTCGCGTCGGTCGTTCCTGGCGCGCAGGTTAGCCGTGGCGGACCCTCGGGCGGGCATTCATTATAGCAGCCGTTCTTGACCGTCAGATCACAATCAAAGCACTCCGTTAACACATTATCAATATCCATAAAGGTATGGGGCGGACACGCCTTGCAAGTCGCATTCTTAACATCCGTGCACGACTCGACAAGATGTGTTCCTCGTGGGCAACAGCATCTCTCGGAAACCGGGCAATCGCTGGCAGAGGCTGTGGAGATCAGCAGCAGGACCGAGATGGCAAGCATCACGAGCACCCGATCAGCCATCGCCAGCCGTGATCTAGCAGCCGACGCAGTACCATCTGTAGATTAGACAACACATACACACGCGCACACACACACACACACACGCACACACACGCACACGCACACACACACACATACAGGCACACACACACACACACACACACACACACACACACACGCACACACACACACACACACACACACACACACACACACACACACACACACACACACACACACACACACACAGTTACTGGGTCGTGTTTAGAAGACGGAAGGAACGAGTAAGTTCTGACCATGGGTTAAACCACACGTTAGTTGCACGCACACTTCTTGTCACGTGGCCATCTATTCAACGGCGTTTGTAGATCTCATGTAACGGAACCACGCAGCATTTAATGCATTCCGTTAGAGAGCTGTTACAATCTCTCCCTATACAGTCGACTTCGCTAATAACGACTGCGGATATAACGACTGCGGATACAACGACTGAGGATATAACGACTGTTCGCGAATAACGACAGAATGTCCGTGCCCAGAGCTAAGTCCCATCTAACTGTGATACATAATTCTAAAATGAGACTTCGGGTAGAAGGACACTTCGCGAATAAGGACACTTTTCTGATGCCCCGCCGAGTGTCGCTATACGCAAAGTTGACTGTTTGTACATCAGGATGGGTTGCTCAGGCGCAAGTACATCGAGTGTGAAGCGGAATTCACAGAAGCTTTTCTGCGATGCGATGGGCGATGCGACGCGATCTGCGACGGAGGCGTGTGATGCGAACTCGCGAAATACCATTCACAGAAGAAGTCAGCGATGCGACGACGCCTTGCGGATTTGGCGCGAACTTCAATGCAAGTGAGTACGTCACCATGGTATTCGCTTGGCTTAGTACAACTTGTACAAATTTACAGGCAACTATTGAACCTTTGTACAACTTTGCTGTAGAAAAGGTCAAAATTGTACACCAAATCGCTTGTCGCATCGTAGAAGTTGGGCCCAGCTCAACTTCTCCGATAGCCCAGTTCCGCCAGTTGTGTAGGGTGCGAGATGGCTGCGATTTGGGGATTTCCCGGTTTCACGGACGTCGCATCACGTGTCGCATCGCAAAATTAGTGGTGTACACGGGTAGTCGGGTACAAGTGCTACCCGTGAGGAACTCGGGTAGACGGACACAGAATAGTACCTGAAAACCCAAAGTCGCAGATGGCATCATGTACAGTGCACGTGTACAAATTCGATTAGTACTCCGTATGTATACCATGCCATGGTCCAGAGAGAGAAAAGCCTCTTGTGCGGGCAAAACTCCAAAACAATGTTGCACAATCATGTACAGATGGATGTCAAAACTATGTCAAAACTAAAAATATGTTTTATAGAAGAGCGAACAGTGACGGTTGTAGTAGGGTTGTGGTCCATGGTCTACCTAGTGTATAAGGGAAGAGGTGCAGTGTGGTATTACGATGGAAACATTACCCGATCGGGTACCCGTGCTACCCGTGGAAAACTACCCGAACCCGATACCCGAAGAAAATACTACCCAACTCAGCCCTAGCAAAAATGCTTCTGTAAATCCCGTTTGACTCGTCTACTCAGTACCCCCGTCCATCTAATGAGTGGTTTACTGACAGTAAGTCTCTTTGACCACCATAGGGGGGAAGAGAGTGTAGGGGCAAAAAAGAATACGTTTTGCTACTTATGCATGCATCCCACATGCATACATACCCGCATATGCATGCATCCACCTGCATATACATGCGTACATGCATACATGCATGGACCTATTTAGATGCACATACCCAATTATGTGCACGTACCTAAGCGCGTCCGCACGTGTGCACGTCCACATCAAGGCTGAACAACATCTGGGTCTGTTTCGGGTATAAGGACCACCCCACCCACCCCCCCCCCCCCGGTTTCTACAGTTTGAAGTGTGTTGCGATGTAACGATGACATTATGTACTACCATCATTGTTGCCCGATGATTGGATACCATGAAACTCAGAAACGGTTAGGTTGTTATTCTTTCCCTGGTTTGAGGGAAATACACAAACGGGAAAAGTCTGAAGAAAAAAGTGACTGTCGCCACCAGGATTCGAACCAGGGACCTTCGCTTGAGGCCAGAGGTGCTCCAACCACTGAGGTAAGGTGTAGCTGTCATCCCAGCAGAGACCGTTCAACATTTTCTTCGGACTTCGTAACTCACACTTCCTATGAATCCACACAGCCGGATGGGACGCAGCCCTCCCTGTAACCCACACACTTCATGCACAAACTAGCATGCGCGGAGTCCCAAGTCATAAAATATTGACTGGTCTGCGGGAAAGACACAAACGGTTCTTATTTTTACGGTTAGAACATGTCACGCACGGTGGGTGTGATGTAGCACGACACAACTACTTCTTTGCAAGTTTGCATACCATTGCATAGCTGATGAGGGCGAATTGCTGAAACGTTGTAAGAATTGATAAACGAGTTCAGGTATTGTCCTGAAGTGAATGGGAAAGAGCGGGTCTGCTCTAGAAACGAGTTCCTAGGAAAGAAGCTGCAGGAAGCCTCACCATTGCTACTATCAAACCCAGAGCTGCAACTAACTACTGTGAAAGCCATAATTATTATATAAAAGGAAGTGCTAATTCTAATGGGTTAACGAGGAGAAATTTCTCGTTAAAAATGTGGAATGCCTCAGTACTCCTTGTCAGTATGGTGTTACCTTGTGCACGTCTGACTGTTCAAAACCTGGTTTAGTTGGTGGACTCTAACGCATAACCTGTGCCCCGCCGTTTCCTAGTTTCCATTTAATATTTTCCTTGCCTTGCCGTTTGAGTACTTATTATTATAATACTTATTATTACGATAATATCCACAGCTCAATACGTGTTCTCCCACCCCCAAGCTACCTACAGGAAATGTCCCGCCGCTTTGGAAGCACGCCGCCCGCATGATGACGTAACTCTGGGACGTATTTTCGCTGTGACCGCTTGGAATGCAAGCAATACCAGAATACCATGCAGCTTGTGAAGTTATGAACTCATGTCACTTGATAGTCAGTGAATATTTGTACAGCCTTCCACAAAGTCACCCTACCCATCACTTTGATAGCGCAACCGCCCGCCTCCCAACGGCACCTTTCAAGCCGCAAATGCCTTCGAGATGGCCTTGCACGGTCAGGGACACAGTTCTGTGGCGACCAGTTCCTCTACAAATACTAATCTTCCAGTCAGGCAGCAACTAACACTAGCTGAAAACAAAACCTGCATAGTTTTATAAAACTGAGTCCTATTCCGCAAACAGCAAGGAAGTGCGAGCCAAAGGCGGAACTGGCGAAAGTTTTTTTTCAACGAAACGTCGACCCAACAAAAATCCATCAAGAAAGCCTCTGAAAGGGAACTAACTGTTACTCAACAAAACTTATCTACATTGTACACAAAAGTTTTAAATAATACTTCCAGAGTCTTTCTTACCTGTTTCCTTTTGTCAGCTAAGATGCGAGAACCGCCAAGAAGCTGCACAGCCACAGGTGCGATTGGCAGATCGGCGCTCAGCAGTCATCCAATGCCAATGCCAATGGACTGCTGGTGGCGATTTCAGAAGCCCAGAGGAGCGAACAGGAGCCAAGGGAAGCCTCGTAATACGCTTCAGCTAGGCCATTCTTTTTCGGCGCTGAACGACAATAATCCAAGTGATCACTTTGTGTCGTGATATTGATCCTGGGCTATTCTATGTAGACTACTGTTGAGTGTTGTCGTTGATGCGCTAGTACTAGTAGTAGTAGTAGTAGTACTAGTACTAGTAGTAGTGCCAACAACTCAGGCCCTTTTTCCGCAGGTCGATTCACTTGCGCCAGACCTACCACTCCACTGAGCTGCCCCCACCAAGCCCGGGCACTGAGCTGGTACGTAGCCAGGCGCACAGCCGTCTCCACGCAAATCATCGTGACCATGTCAGACTACTTCGTGTGTGTTATGCGTCGACACGCGAGCGGCAAATCCATCCGCGGTGTCACATCGTCTCAGCACATAGCGTGCTAGCTTGTGACGGTGTTACTGAACTCAAACAAAGAGTCCACATTGTAAGAAGTGATCGATCGGCATCATCGGGTTTTTACTCTTAGCCTAGGCTACCAGCACCAGATCAGATAGAGAGAAGAGAGCCAGAGATATCGTGGAGAACCAGGCTAAAAGTATAAGGGTTTGTGTTTTGAACGAAGTCGATTGACTTCTGTCTTTGATGCATTCAGCTTTTTCTTCACTATCCTATCCTGGCAGGCAAACCTCATCAGTGATAAACTGTTTAGAATGACTTATGTACAGTAGTTCAACTGGTTATAAAGAAAAATGGCCGTGTGAGGTACATGTACATGTATGTAGTCCTTTCCCGGATACTAGTATGATAATGCTGACAGAAAAATTGGCAGATGTACTATTATAATCATGTTGGTGCGTTTTCTCTTCATGGTTCATACATGTTTGGTATGTGGATAAAAAAATTGAGCAGAATTTCAAGGAAATGCCTGCCATAGCGGCATGAGGTTTGTATGGTTCTGACCATTTCACTGCCTTTTGAGAATTATCCACCAAGGGCTCGGTCACTAGTCTATGAGGCTGATGGGTAGGCATATGCGGATAATGCCGGCAGAAAAATTGGCAGAAATCGGTACTTTTTTCTGGTAGGTTTCATGCATGTTTGGTATGTGGATAAAGAAATGGAGCAGAATTCGAGGAATTGCCCGCCATACGGTTTGTATGGTTCTGCCAATTTCACTGCTTTTCGAGCAGAATCTGCCACCTTTTCGAGCATTATCCGCACACCCCTACTGATGGGTGTGAACCAGGTACATACATGTACATATGCACAAACTAGACTTCTACCGGGTTGTTTTTTTCCACTTTGAATAAGCCTCTTATACGGCCAATCACAGAATCTGATTTCACTGGCCTGACACAACACAACAACTAAAGAAAAA